TTGCAAATATGCATCTGGTACCCCCACCCCACCACTGAGGAAATCCAGAAAGCAGTGATGAGCTAGAAAGTATTTATTAAAATATTTATACCCCACCATACATCAGGGGATGTCATCTGATACAAAAAGGACTAAGTATCTCTCACGTCCCTTCCATGCTCAAAATTCCACCTTGTAGATGTTCCTTTTTGTAAGAATAAATCCACTGTGGTTTTGTTACACACACCTTAGTTTGAAACAAGTATTTGGGACTCCTTACCATCAGCCCCTGTCCCCAGATATATTCTTGCCAGAATTATGAGAATAAGGAGTGGATGTTGGACAGGTTGGCTTCAGCAGGAACTGAACAAACTATGCACAGAAGTTGTATGAATGCGATGTTGGATTTTACAGTACACTCTTGTGTGATAAAAGGAAGTTGTAGGCTGAAACCTACATGGGATGCACAGGAATGAAGAAAGATTAGCACCTTAAGAGACAGGAAGCCTTCCTTATAGACTAGGGAAACAGAAAATAGGTCATGACTGACTTAGAGCCTTTTGTGTAGGTGGAAAGCTTAACAGTTGAATTAGCTCATGTTGATATTTAATTTTGTTTAGAATGGCCAGCCTTGTGGGGAAAATGCTCATCACAGCCTAGTTTTTGTTCAGAGTGTGATCTTCCAAAGCATTCTATGAAAAAGTTGTAGAATTCGTGCAGTTCACATCTCACTATATGCTCAGTCACAAAGCCCACTTGCTTTGCAGACTGAGACCCATCAATGATTGGAGCATTGCTGGCAAAGAGGATGGTGCAGGATACTTGCTAGAGGCACAGTGCTGCTATGTGTTAATCACAAAATGTCCCATAAACTCCATTCTCAGAAATATCCAACATAAGTTATTTACAGAGTAAGACAAACAGTAAGAATATACAAATAATTAAAAGGCATTTGTAACAATGAAAAACAAAACACACACAATCCGAAACATAGAAGACTCTTTAAAAAAAGTTCCCAATGAAAATGCTAAAAACCATCCCAAAAGGAAGTATTTACATCAAAAGTTAGCAAGCATGTTTATCCCCAATCCCTGCCCACCCTAAGCCCGTGCAAGAAATAGAAAGGGGCTGACCCAGAAAAGCTGTCCAGCCCTGAGCTGGGGACCAATAAACGCTGCCAGGATCTGTTTTGCATTCTGTTCTTCCAGTGAGAGCAAGCCCAGCCTCAACCTGACTCTGTACATGGCAGACAACAGGAAAAACGGCTGGGCTGAAAGTATCTCTGTTTCCCTGGCAAAGTAAGGCGCTTGGTGGAGACAGTACAGCCTAGTTGCTACAAACCACTTATTTGCTAGTGGCAACTGAAACACTCACACAGTGGGTATTGACCGAGTACAAGGCCACAGGTGTGATATTTGGACAGATTTTGCTGGCCGGCCAAAATGAAACAGCTCAGTTACTTGAGGACAAGATGTAGAAGTTCACTGGGATTAAAGCTAAGCAGGCCGTACGGAGTATCATGTGAGTCTATTACCCTGAATGCTGAATCCCAATAACCCCACAGCAATCTTAGATTGTGGTTTGCCAATGTGCTTGCTGCAGCTCCCTACTGTTTCCCATTGGTTGTACATTATTCTGGTTTTGATTTCCAGCCCATCATGAATAGTCAGTTATTTCTCTTTAAGAATGCGTGCCTGCAGGAGGAATAATACCCAGGTTTCCAATTCTCTGCAATTGAATCACAGATGTGGAAGGCCTGTGGGCTTCCCCAACTGAATGCAATGAAAGTAATGAAGGAAATGACTCTTAACAAAATCCTAGAAATATGATGCTGTCATCTCTTGCTCGCCTCCATTAAACAAAACATGTTTATTTGGCATTAACTACCCATATCCAGCAGAATTGATTTTAGTGATGACAAACAGAAGGCAATGGGCACTTTTTGTTCATAAGATTTTGCAGCTCCCATTTTGTGCAAATTAATTGAGCATATAGCCATAGACTGTCATGAAAGGACAGCTGCACTATACCTGCAATCCCATAATCTTGGCAGTATTTTTATCTCCGGTACCTGCCTCCCTACTTTCAAATTTAGAGTTTCAGTATTTCAGGAAACTCCTCTGACAGAGATCAAGGATCTAAATTTAGATTGATTAGCCTACTTCTTGGTCTCAAGATAGCCTCTGACTGCATAAAGAGAGAGAGATGTTTTCAATTAGCAATCACAAGGCTTCATCTCAACCCCATGCGTGGCTAATACATTCTGAAGATTCCAAGGAAAAGGAGAAGGCTTGATATTCTGTTGTGAAGTTTTTGTTTTGTAGAATTGTTTCAAGTGCCTTACAAAAGCTAAGCTTGGCGGGGGCGGGGGGATGGACGTTTCCCAGAAATTTTTCTTTAAAAATATCTGAAAGTCATTTGAGACTCCCTTTGTAACTCTGGGCCACTTTGACCCACCTCACAGAGCTGTGGTGAGAAGAGGAGTAGGGAGGGCAACCATATATGCTGCCTTCAACTCACTGGAAGAAAGGCAGAATATAAATATACCTAATCATAAACAAGCTAAAGTAGGCAGGGTGAGAATATCTTTTGACCCAATTTGCTTGTCTTATTTTTAATTCAGGTCAGAGAATTCTTGGCTAGAAATGCTACAGGCATGAAACTAAGATTTCCCTATGTCTTTTTCTATCTCCCTTCAGCTGCAACTCTATGCATATTTGCTTACATAACTAAGGATGGGATGGATTATTTTTTGAAGAAATACAGTACATACAAAGCTGCAAGTCTTCCTAAATGATCTCCCTTGTATGAAATGGCAAGATAACAAGAACAGAGAAGAATACTTCAAGTGTCTTGTCATTCTGTGCCCCCCACCATGACCAAAAAACATAATATATTTGCAAAATAAGCAAATATATTTAGCATGGTACAAAATTCATGTTGTAAAGTTCAGCTTAGCTTGCTGGAGAATGTAGGTTTCTTTTTTGATTCTATGCTCTTTTCAACTCTAAGAATGTCACAAAGTTTGCAAGAAAAAATTGATAGTTTTTTGTTGGAAGTTTCAAAAATAGGACACTTCAGACATTTTGATTGCCACAATATAAATTATTTTGATAATTGACTGAACTGGAAACCCCTGAATTATTTGACTCTACTGACTAATACTTAATTCAGATAGAATTCACAGAGGTTCCAGAAGGTCAAGAAGAAAACTGTTCAATGCAGCAATATATAAATTTGAAAAATTCTGGCTCCATATTTATTTCAAACTTTTACTGTGATTTCAATGATCAGGATAAATTAGATTCAAATTATTCCAAATTAACGGAGTAGAGGGCATGCCTATCAAATCTGTAGATGTTGTGAAATTAGATGAGGTACCTAATACCCCAAAGGAAGAATCAAAATTCAGAAGAACTTTAACAGATTGGTGGAACAAATTTAACAAGTCTAATTTCAACAGACATAATTATAGTAGGGAAAATTCGATGCACAAACATCAGATCGGTGACACCTGGCTTAATGGCTTAATACAGGAGCCTCTGGTGGCACAGTGGGATAAACCCCTGTGCTGGCAGGACTGAAGACCGACAGGTTGGACGTTCGAATACAGGGAGAGCGCGAATGAGCTCCCTCTGTCAGCTCCAGCTTCCCATGCGGGGACATGAGAGAAGCCTCCCACAAAGATGGTTAAACCTAAAAAAAAAAAAAACATCCAGGCCTCTCCTGGGCAACATCCTTGCAGACGGCCAATTCTCTCACACCAGAAGCGACTTGCAGTTTCTCAAGTAACTCCTGACACGAAAAAAAACCTGGCTTAATAACACAGGTGAGAATATTTTTGGGGTAGACCATAAGTTAAACATGAGTGAGCGGTATGAGCCAGCAATCCAAAACTCCCAGGCTAAGGGAAGTAGTAGTACTATTCCGTTCTGTGATGGTCAGACTTCACCTCAAATACTATGTCCAGTTCTGGACATTAGAAGTTAGGAAAGATATTGACAAGCTGAAGGGCAATACATGATAAAAAGTCACAAAACTAAACCCTCTGAGGAATGCCTTAGGGAGCTTAGAATGTTAAGCTTGGAGAAGACTGAGAGGGGAAGATAACAGTCAGCTTTAAATACCTGGAGAAATATTGTGGAGAAGATGAAGCAAGTTTGTTTTATGTAGTTCAGGGACACAACATGGACCAATGGATTTAAGTTGCAAGAAAAGAGATTCCACCTAAACATTAGGCAGAATTTCTTGATTAAGAACTGTTCAACAGTTGAATAGACTGCCTTGGGGGTTGGTGGGCTTTCTAGTATCTAACAGATGCTAGATAGCCTGGTAAGCATGGGGCGGGGGGGGGGGGGGGGCTCCTGTAATCTGAGAGTTAAATTCAATTCCAAAGAAAACATATTTAGTTTGGCTTGCGATTTACCTAATGGTGAAAATATACACAACAGGAAGTGTATGATGCTGATGTAAGCAAATGACTTCCCACTGTTCCCATACAATTATTCCCTAAACTAGGGGTGGACAATGTTTCCTACAGCTCATATCATTCCTATTGGTTATGCTGGTTAGAACTGATGAGAACTCCCTAAATCTCTTGGCAAAGGAGGAGATTCAATGAATAGACAGATCTTTTTTGCATGACTGGAAACTGAGGAATCACCAACTCAATAGATAACCTTGCGCTGCAACTGTGTTGACTCACTGGAACTAACTGAGCACAAGCTGCAACGGGTGAGCATGACATTGGAGAAACACTGCCCTGAGATGTGGAGTTGGTAGACCAATTTCCCAGGAACATGGAATGTTCAATACTAGTCAGTTATACCTCTTCTACCTATTCAATGTCTCCCTGATATTTTTACTCCAGAGATACTGACTATGGTGGCTAGGAATTTTAATAAGAGGTTTTTCAAAGTTCTGGACCTGTGCTTGTTCATGTAGCCATCTCCCCCTGAAAATAATCCTTGTTATTCAGATATGTGTTGGTCATTGTATTTCTGAGGTTCCTATTTTTAAAAAAAAAAAACCCAGATGTAACTCTCCTTAAGCACAGCTATGTTGTTTAAGAGCCAGGGAGAAGTGAAAATGAAACTAAGTTCAGTGACATGAAGGAATTTGCATTTCTGCTCCATGAACTCCCTGACAACAGCACCCTGGCTTTTTACAACAAAACATCAATGGTTCCAAACTATGGAGATGACATTAGTGCCCTAAAAAGTGCCCTATTTATGCCTTTTGGTAACAATGGGAAGATTGGTGCAAGTGGATAAGAAGATAACTCAGGTCACACAAGCACTGCTGTTGTCTCCTGCAGAAGAGAGGTAGAAATTCTAGTACAATATAATGACCTTGTTTTATCAAGAGCTAACACTATAGCCAATATCACCCCCACAGGCCGATTCAGTGAGGCAGTATGTAAGCACAGAGCAGAGAGGACACATCAGAGGAATGCTGCCCATGCAAACATGGTTAACGAAAATCAGTCTATTCCAGATGACTTGTACAGTCTAGGGAGCCCATGTTATGGTGACACTTTCTTACCAAAGATTTGATAACACCCTCCCACCCCAATCTTTTCCCCCTCCCTCCCTATGTACAACAGTGTGAATGCCTCACCAGGGAGTGGGAGATCATTGAGTAAAGCTGTTCTTCTGTGGTTTTTAATGTTCCCTGGTGTTTCTTTTTCCCTCGGACCAAGGCAGGAAGGCATGGCCAAGCAATGTCATTGCACTCCCTAATGCCTCTATAATGCTTGTTAGAAAGGAGAGATGAACCTCCTCATATTGGAAAACACTCACTCACACATATGCGCGCGCACACACCCAATGCCATGAAAACAGCACAGACCACTTCACTAGACTCTGGCAGCTCTTGGAGATTATGTTCCCATGGAAGGTGGGCAAAGGGACAGAAAGGTTTCTAGTGAAAAGAAACCACACCTCCACAACAAGACTCCCATTCTGTCCCCTGGCTACACAGCACAGCTTCTGTGTGGCAGCTATCCTTGCTGAGCTAAGATAAGACCAGGGCTGCTGCATGTTACTGCTCTGAGTATCTAAGAGCAGAGCCCCCCAGCTGGGATGGGCTCAGACGGGGCCAGTCCTTGAGGTGCTGAAGGGACTGGAGGCTCCAGGGCAGAGTTGCTCTTCCACCAGGACCACGGTTAAGTGCAGCCACCTCTCACTCACTCGAGGACCCGGCTTTCTCTTCCATCCGACTTGCATCAGACGGGTGTAACTTGCATTTGGAAGGGGAGTGGCGGACGGTGGATCGTGATGGCCGAGCAAAGCAGGAGGTCAGTGACTGGGAGCTGCAGTCACAGGCAATGTCCTATAAAGATAGCAAGATAAAGAAAAGGTCAATGGAGAATTTGTGGTCTGACTATGTGGTTATGAAGGGTGTGAACAACAGAACAAACAACACTACCAAGGTGATGTAACTGGTCAATAACAGTATAGTAATAGCTTAGGCAGCATGGGGTGCCTACTCACTGCTATGCTTCTCCACTGGTCCAGCTGCATCCTCCTGCTTTCCTGGCCTCTATTGTTTGGGAAGATTCCTGCAAACATATCAGCTGTTCATGGACAGCGGTTAAGCGCAGCCACCTCTCACTCACTCAAGGACCCAGCTTTCTCTTCCATCCGACTTGCATCAGAGGGGTGTAACTTGAATTTGGAAGGGGAGTGGCAGTGTTCTGGCTAAGAAAATAAACACTAACGTTTCTCCTAAGGAGCAAACCCCTTGCCTTAAGGCACACTGCTTACTCTTTCTCTGACCTAGCCACAAATCCAAAATAAAGTTATAGTAGCAGCGTTACGTGACAAGACAATGTAATTAGAGCATTCTGATCAACTAAAATGCACTACACAAGCAAGTAACTACTATGGAGGCAATTCAGACTACGCTGGTATCATCTTCAACATTATTTTAATGCTCTGAATGTGAGATTTTAGTTTATAATTCATCAAGGAGATCTTTACAATCTTTCTGCAATTTTACTGCTAAAGCTCCAAAAAGAAGCAGGAACAATTCCTGAAGTCAATATTACTTTTTTCTATTAATAACACATTGTAAAGTGCATGGTTTCTATTTTCAATAACTCCTTTAGCCCTGTACAGTGAGAACAGGATATTTCTCATCCTGCCAAATTTGAGTACTAAACATATTTGGATGTTCTTCAAAAAGCTATGGTAGGCAGTAGGCACAGTGGAGTTTTTAAACATTTTGGCCTCTGGCCTTTCAAACAGCCAGAGCTTGGAAGATAGTTCACTTTAATTTTTGAAATTGTAAAAATTGTTTAATGCTTTTAGAATGTTTGAATTATTTTATTATTTCAATTTATTATTATACTAATTTTTTATTATTTCAATGGGCAGCAAACTGCCCAGAAGCCCTATGATATTAGTAAAGGATATATAGGCAATCCCTGAGTTACAAACATCTGACTTACAAATGACTCATAGTTACAAATAGGGGTAAGACAACAGGTAGTGAGAGAAATCTACCATTAGGAAAATTCACTCATGAAACAGGTATCATGGGGAAAAGGTGTCTCAACTAAAGCTTTATCACAGATCCATTTTTTTTAAGTCCAACTATCTCAGTGACAGAAAGTGACATGAAATTTTCTGAACAGGGACACAGACAGCAAAACCAACACCACAGGGGTGTTAACCCTTCCCTAGTTTATCCAAAGCTTTAAAAAAGTACCTGTTCTGACTTACATACAAACTCAACTAATAGATGGTCAAAGAAGGTTACAAACTGAGAACCATCTATTTCTAAGGGCTTGAAACAAGCCAATATTACCTCATTGGCAATAGTAGTAGAGATGACATCTGGCTCTTTTAAGGCTCTGTCCTTGCCACCTTGGCTTGGGATGGACAGCTTTGGTTCCTCACTGCAGCTCTGCTTCAAAGGTTTTTTGTCCAGGAGCTTAGAGGTGCTTTCAAACTGCTGGATCACAGCAGTGGAGGAATGATCTGGTTTCTTGCTGCTGTTTTCTACAATAACCAGGTCTTTCTTCTCGGGAGTCAATGTGGGGCTTTGAGTTCTGCCACACACATTCCGGAAAAACTCTTGGACGATTCCATATTTAGGAGCCTCTGGCTTCGTTTTGGTTTCCTGACATCCTGGCTTCCAAATGGATTCAGTACTCCCAGAATGTTCTACTACATTGAATAAGCTGGACAGACCATCATTGATGTTGCTGAGAACTGGACTGTCTCTGGTTGTGGTGGACCGAGCCCAGGCAGACCCATTTTGCTTACTCTGATGGAGGTTCCAAAGACTTCGGTCCTTGGAGTTGTCCAACTTAGAAGATGATCTTCTTTGGAGTTTGGGCGAACCATACTTAGGGGAGCAACAAGGCCGTTCGATCCTAGAGTGGACTTTGTCTAAAGACGTTGAGATCTGCTTGCTGCGCACAGACATTAGGGAAGAGCTTCTTGGGGACCAGCTCTTGCTGCTGTGGATGCTGCCTCTGGGCATATCTGTCTGCAAACCAATGCTAACCGTCTGGATAGTCTGTGTACCAACACTAGTTAATCCCACTGTCTGGCTAGAAGTGCTCTTAATCTTTCTCTCCAGAGAGCTGGAGCGGATAGCTTGCCGGACACAGTTGGTGATCTCCTTCATGTCGTCACTCATGTTGCCAGAGATTTCAAGGTCATGCAAGGATGGCGGAAATCTGGGGACAGGGGGCACCACTTTCTCACTCACAGTATCATTGTCCAGCTGCTCTCGACGCTGCTTGGAAAAATTGCAAAGCCACTGGCTGTATATACTCTCTGAGCTATTTGACTCTTCCTTAGGCTTGGCCATTGTGAACAGGAAACCAGGCTCAACCATGATCTTCCCCTCTCTATTGTGGACCAAGGGTGGCTCCAGTCTGCGTACCACTGGGGGACTATAGTATATTCGGATCCCAGTCTTATCTGGGGCTGTATGGCTCCTCTGTATATACTTCTGGGTCTGGTCCTGCAAAGAGAAGCTGCTTGTCCGAGTGTAGTCACATACTGAGACATCAATCTTCTCTGTGTTCAAGGTCTCAGAAGAAGGTCGCTCACTATTCACATAGGCACCGTTTTGAGAAGTGAGTCCTGTAGAGTCCTTCAATGTGTCAGGCAACACCTGGGTAGCTGTAGGCCCCTTTTTGCTGCGAGCATTGTCAGGACTGGTTTTGCCAGGAAGATAAGGAGAACACTCAAGCAAGCTTTCAAATTCAGACATTGAGGAAACTGACTTTGTCCTGGATAGAAAGAGAAGATAGTGAGCGCAGCACATACTATTGGAGATGGCTTATTGCCTTTTTAAGTAGAATTTCTCCCTTTGCTGGGTTATATCTACTTTCCTGCTTGTCTGTACAGGCAAAATCATTTTCAAATTCATCTGCTAAGATGCCTGGGAAAGTAGGGAAAATATGGCGCATCTTGAAGAATGTCAAAATGTACAGAATTTGTCGGGACTGTTTCAGTAGTCCTTGACATTATGGGTATACCTCAGTTAATAAGTAGACGCATGCCAGGACTTTGCTTCTTCAACAGAAAATTTGGTATTTGGTAAGATAAAAAGAATATATGTTTCGATAAAACAAAGCTGACAGTAACTATAATATGTGCACTGCACACATATACAGAATGCAGAGAATCCCAATAATGTTAATGAATCTGTTTATATGGAGCAAGATGTATTACATGGATTACAAGAGTGCAACATTTTTATGGGGTACAACATCCCAAATCCTCAGTCTCAGTCTGCTGAAGAATTCCAAAGGAGAAGTGGTGTCCCCTATACACCCAAATAGGTTTAAGGAAACATTTCAATTTGCCGTTTATTGGGTACTCTTTTGTTCAGAGTCAGGTTGGATGAATCCATTACCATTTTTAGAGCTGCCCTAAATATCAATTACATGGGACACAATGAAGACTACCGGTTAAATTAAATAATTGATGCTTGAAAGACAGCAGTGCTAAAAAGAAAACATTTTTCCACATTTAACCAAGAGGATGCAAATTACAGTCCCTGTAGCATCATCTGTCTAAGGAATACAGGTAGCTTACACTTTAATATGCTACTGAATATGAAATCTATTTGACTAAGAAAATCATTATATGTTAATTGTTGATGTGAATGTGGAGTTGTAGTCACTGGAGACTGAGGTTTGGATGAAAAACCATATAATTTGACATACATGAGAATAATCCACTATCTTCTCATATGTACCTATCTTCATATAAGAGAACCTTTCTTCAAGTGACCTCTCATTCTAGGATTCATGAGGATGGCAACAACAGAAAGGGCTTCTTCAGTCATGGCCTTATAATTCTAGAATGCTTAACCAAGAGAAGACTACATGTATTTTCCTTACTCAAAGTTTATCAAGCTGCTCCCTGCACTGACATGTGGTCCTTCCACCCAATTGTTTCGATTTTTGTATCCATATTTTATGCTTTGTCAGTATATTGTATTTCAATGTTTTTCTTGTATTACGTATTATTTCTATGCCACTCTTAAATTGCCCAGAGAAATATATTTTATGAAGTAAATAGGTAAGTAAGTGATGAATTTTTCAGTCAGTTATAAAGTTGATTGAAAATTCTCTGTGATTTCAGGTACAGCCAACTAGATGCATGAACAGATGAAGTCACTGCTGCGACATTTCAGGGCCTGGATGTACTTCTATCCAAAGTCATGCTGGCAGAGATGCCTACTGACTATTTTAATCTCTTTTGGAGAGGAACAGAAAAGGTATGAACTGGTCAGTATACTTTGCAAGCAGTTCTGCACACATCTCACCTTTTTAAGTTACTTGCTTTCATGTCAATTTCGGAAACAGTTTCTTTGTCAGTGATTTTCTCATTGAGAGTCTGAAAGAACATCAGAGAGGCCTTTATCATCAGTTGTGCCTTGCAACACTGTGACAGATCTAAACATCTCAGATAAAGAAACGGGAATGTCACCTTCACATGTGAATTCTTTGTCTAAATGTTTAAAAGAATTGTAAATATAAAACAAAGAATTCAATTCCTGCTTTTTACTCTCATGGTTATCATAAAGGACAGAAAGGTAAGATACTTTAGCTCAATCCAAGAGCATACCATACTTGTTGAAAGTGAGGATATCAGTAAATACTACAGGGAAAAGAACATGTGATCTTCCAGATGTGGCTGAATTTCAATTCCTATTAGCCCCAGTGAGCCCAATCAATGGTAAAACTCAATGCCATAGGTTCCTCACCACTATTGTAGGGTCCATCCATTTGGAATGCCTTATCTTTTAGCTATGGAATTCAACTTTTCTCAAGGTCAAACTAAAATTGTCCCATAACAAGCAGTTACAGAGAAAAAAGCAGGAACTGAAGCGCTAGTATGGACCAGGCACAGAAGAGACAAAGAACCTATCTCTTCTGTGTTTGGGCCATACTGGGGTTTCAATCCCTGTTGTTTTCTCTGTAACTCCATGTTATGGGACCACTCTAGTTTGACCTTTAGCTTTGGTCCCAATCTGTACACATATAAACATGCTACCTATCTGCATCATGAGAAAAGGGCCCAGTTGGATCTAGCGCCAACTACATTTTCAGTAAAAAAAAAAAAAAAGACTCAAAATGGCTGCATGTTCAGCATTTTCTTGACAAAAGCTTTGTGCCTTTAATTTCAGATACAATCAACAGGCACTGCACTTCCCAGAAAAGCCGTAGACAGAGTTGAAAAGCTGGAGACAGAGTTGAACCTCACAACCTCGGAGGATGCTTGCCACAGATGCAGGCAAAATGTCAGGAGAGAATGCTTCTACAACATGACCATACAACCCAAAAAACCTACAACAATCCAGTGATTGCCATGAAAACCTTTGACAATACAGAGTTTAATTTGTTTTAATTTCCTGCAGTTTTTAAAACCATTCCCGTCAAGACCAAAAAAGCCCTATCTTGTTTCTCCTTGCCAGACATTTTAGAGGCATCCAGGATGACATCTGCCTCTGAAGGAATTAATTTTCTTGCCTCAGATTAGTAACTCTCATTAAGGACACACCTTTCTGAATCTGGAACAAGGTCTGTCTAAATTCTGGGTCCAACAGCACCAAGTCAAATGTCACAAGCACTGCAGGTAGCCATTGTCTTATGTTCGTTCCCATAATAATTCTATAATTTCCATCCACCCACCCTTATTTCAGTCCCAACACTGATCATCTTAATCTAAACTGATTAGCCATTTTAGATAAGGTCCAATTCTTTTAAGTTTACCTCTTTCCAGTTACTGCTGTGCTTCTCCATTTCAGAGTTTTTCAGAGCCCATCGGTCAGTTCCCTTCTGCAGCCAGAAAACAGAATATAAAAACAAAATTCAAGTGAAATAGGCCTACATGAAAGAGTATATTTGTCCTCAGAGTGTCACTGAGACAGAAAAAAAAACTTTCTGAAACATTGCGAAGTTCAGTTGCCTCCAGGGACCTCCCACTGACATGGCAAGACCAGGTGATTATTGGTTGTCCCTTACAGGACCTATTTATTTCTGGCAGTTATATTATTCAAAAATCAATCTGTAGTACAAAAATGAGCTTAGGGGCAGATATCTAGATTTGGATCTATTGTGACTGAGGGTCAGGTTGAGGGTGCATCAATAGAACATTAGCGGCTGGCAAAGAAGTATGTTTAGTGTGCTACCAGAAGGCAAATGGCTCTACCCAGCCATTGGCAAACATGGAAAACCTACAGAGGGTGGGATTGCTGTGATGGAGGGTCTCATTTAATTTAGATGCCTCACATATAGTCTACTGAGATAAACAATACATACTGTCATGTGTACATTAGTTGGAATTTGGGTGCAATTTTTTTGCAGCATTTCAACTTTTCTGCTTTGGTTCTTTTTTCATGGAACATCTATGTCTGTATTTCACTGTTCAGATTCACCTGAATTCTCTTATTCAATGAAAGCATGTGTGAAGGAGGTTGTTGAGTTGTCCTGTGTAGCCCAGCACCTGTGACAACGATCATTTTAGTGGCTGTGTGAAGAGGGATTACAAGTATAGAAGATCCTAACTGGCTCACTGTTTCCACTTACAGAAAGTATGTGTGCAAAAGGTCCCCTTCACACAGTCATCAAAAGTGCTGCTACAAAGCACACACATGGCCAAGTGTACCCCTTTACTTCATGTATTGTATGTATTAATCAAAGCGTGGAAAAACTCATTTTTGAATTATATCTCCCTGAATCTACCAACCAGCATGACCAATCAATATGCTGATTGCGATTCTGTGAGCTGCATTCCCCAGCTTACTAGGAACATTAAGGTCTATGGCACGGGCAGGGAAAACAGACTTCCTCAGATGTTGAATTGGGACTCCTCACCAATGGCTAATGGCTATTTTGGCTAAGGCTCACAGGAACTGAAGTTCAACATCAAGAATGCTGCACATTGCCAACCTGGGGTCTACAGGTTACATATGCCTCACTCTATGCATGTGCTTATTGGTCACTTGTTTTATCATGCCCTTCCTCAAAGGAGCACGGTTTTGTTCCTCCTCAAAACAATCCTGGAAAGCAGATAACTCAGAGAAAGACAACTATTGAACAGCAGAGATTCAAACTCTTCAGCCTCAGCCTAGTACTCTGGCAACCACATCACCATGGTGGCTAAGTAGGTCTGTCTATCTAACTATCTCTGTTGACACTCACGATGCAACACATCAGTACAGTACATCTTCGTATATATAACACACAAGATGCACACTCAGTTCCAACCTGGTTGATTTTGTTCTGCAGTTCCCGCACTTGTTGCTCCATTTGCTGCTGTTCATCCTTAAAATGGCTCAGGAGCTCCAGCTTCTCCTGGTCCCAGTTCTTCTCACTAATCTGCAGCTGCTTGGTCAAGTCCATAACAGCACTGTATGACTCAGCCAGGAGATGTTGATGCTCCTCTCGCTCCCTCTTCAGAGCTGATTTCCAGTCAGAGGGTGCGCGCTCAGTCAGGCTTTTCCCAGTCTTGGATTCCAGCTGTGAAAACAAAGAGAGTAACAATATGAAGAAAAGCAATTCAAAACACTCTTGGGTCTGGCAACTCACATATGACCTGTAGACCATATTTTGCCCTGCCTCAGAGTAGAAGAAATAGAACAAAGAACAATGTAGACAGCCAAGAAACAGCAGGTGCTGTAGGTTATATTTCAGAGGGAGGAACTGGCAAAACCACTTCTGAATATTTCTTACCAAAGACAATCCTATGAAGTCCATGAGGCTGCCTTAAGTTGACAGGCAACTTGAAGGCATATGCACACAAAATTATCTTTCCTCTATGCATAAATATATTAAACCCAAACCTTACATCAAAACAAATTGTTATTTGCTTCATGCCTTTGAGAGGTGCTGTGAGAATAAAGAACATCATCTAGGGGATATTTCCACTGGACTAGCTGGAATACATCTCTGGAAAGTTTACCTGTCTGAACATATTCTCCCCTATGAACCATCAAGAGCGTTAAGATATTCCGGATAGGCCCTGCTCTCGGTCCCATCACTTTCGCAGTCGCATCTGGTGAGGATGAGAGACAGGGCCTTTTCTGTGGTGTCCCCCCCTGGCTATGGAACTCTCTCCCAAATGAGGTTAGGTCTGCCCTCTCCTTCCTGACCTTTAAGAAGCTAGTAAAATTATGGTTGTGGAACGAGGCATTTGCAGAGTGATGGCTGAGACCGGTAATTGACTAAAGTTATTAACCACAATGTGCGGATTGAGTTGGACATGATTTTATCTTGGCGAATGGTTTATATGCATTTTATCTTATATGTATTTTTAACTGTATGATGTTTTAACAGGTTTTTACCATTAACATTGAATTCTTGCTGTTAGCCGATCTGAGTCCCTCTACGGAGGTAGAGAAGATAGGGATATAAAAGTTTTAAATAAATAAATAAATATAATAATAAATAGATATAATGCCAGACACAGCATTAAAAAGTTACTTTTTGGGATTACAAAAGTAGTACTGACTATGGAATTCTGGTAGATGTGGTCCAAAAATACAACTGATGCTAGATGTTCCTGAAAGCAATAAATTAAGAGTTTTTGTTTATCTGTTTGTAACAGTTTCCAGGATAACAATTATCACCTCTCTCACCTCCCACTGATAACATGTTTCTAAAGCATGTAATGCTCATCATGGTCTGAAAATAGGTTTGATCTATGATGATAAACATCTAATGAGTGAAAAACAGGAAGAAGAAATATCAAGTGTGAAATTATGTAGATTACTGTGAGGGAAGAAGTCAGAACAACTGAGCAACTCAAAATTCATACAATCCTTATAAGAAATTACCAAGTAAATCACCCTGGTATGAATGGGATATTGTTGGTGCAACAACATTCACTTGCAAATCTGAACAGATCCAACAGCTTATCTGAAACTTTCCAATTATAAACAGATTCAAAAGGGGGGGCCTAGGGGCTGTTATGACTTGCACAAGACTGCACCATAAGAAATAACAATAGAGATCTCCAAATTAGATGAACAAACCTGGTGGCTGGGGAATTCTGGGATCTATAGTTCAAAAAGTAACTTTTCTAAGCTTTGGTTTTTAATTGTGAATATGCTTTGATGGATTTTAACTGTGAATTTTTTTAGTGCTGTTTGTGTCTAATTCTTTTTTATTGTTTAAAATATTTGTATATTTTAAATTGTATACTAATGCTTTTATGCCAAGCTGCTTTGAGTCCCCTTTGGTGAGATAAAGAGAGGTATAAGTAAATACCACAATAATAATAATAATAATAATAATAATAATAATAATAATAATAATAATAATATTTGACCTAAAATCCCAGGAAGAATGAGGTCAGGAATTCAACTTGATTTTCTTTTAGGCAGGCAGAGCCTCACAATCATGATTCTCATAAAGTATCAATTGACAAATATAAAACCAAGAATTACAAAAACAAAACCAAGAATTATGGTCATCCAGAGTACACAAAAGTCCTCTTTGCAGATAGTGGATTAAAAGTGAGACAGCAGCTTCTGCCACAACTGCTTAAGAGAGGCTAGTAAGAGGCTAAACTACATGCTAATGTGAAGGAAATCTTTTGCTTAATTTGCTGTCTGGAAAGATTAGTGTTAAGAGCAAGAAGACCCCTTGGGGGCAACATTCTTGAGCATTGCCAATTCAGAGATTGGGAAAGCACAATAGCATACGCAATTTAAAAATGAAGAATTAGCCGAAGTCTCTTTCTTTGTGGCCTACTTGTGCAACTACAGTGAGGGAGAGGTTAGTTGTCTAAGGACAAAATCAAGTTACACAAAGGCTTCAAGTAAGAAAAAGCATCACACTCTTGCAAGAGCTCCAGAGAATAGTGAGCTAATTCCAGAAGTCCCTATTCCCAGGCCCCCTGGCACCTGACAGTTCAGACAGCTGAAGAGGAAATGATTATTCTAATCAGATAATAATTGGGACATGTTTGCTGCATTTATGCATAACAGCAGATCAGTACAGATGCCATTCTGGGTGAGTAACTAGATAATGGGCATCTAGGGGGATCCATGGAAGATCTAACAACGGCATCTCCAGAGGAAAGTACCAGCAAATGGGCTATTTGTTGAGACTTTATTGTTGTAAACTTGACACAGCCCTTGAAATCAGGCCTAAACTCCCATCTAATTCTATAAATCATGTGAGAGATTATTACGATGGCAAGGGACTAATAATTCTGGAATTCTATCCCCCTTTCTCCCTGATTCAGTCAACGGTACACTGAAGAACCCAGATTAGGGGAGGAAAACTAACTGAACAGTAACCTCTGAAGTGATAATTTGACAAAAGCACTATCATGCTATCTATGATCTCATCCAGGTAGCAGCCTAAAGACATGAGATCCTGTCTGATCTTGAAAGATAAACAGGGTCAGATTTGGTTTGTACTAGGATGGGAGTTGCCAATGAATGCCAGATACTGTAGGCTATATCTCAGAAGTAGGAACTAGCAAAACCACCTCTGAGTACTCCTTGCCCTATGAAATTCATGGAGTCACCATGAGTAGAAAGGCAACTTGAAGGCACATATACACACACAAGCCTGAAGAATCCACCATGAACATTACACAGCCCAATTCCTGCCCTATAATGTGTACTAGCAAATGCTAGTATAAAATGAAGTATCTGACACAGCAGACTGGAAGAAGGCCACAAATTAACATAGCAATATTAATGCTTAAATCCTATTGCCATTTGAACATGCCCATGACAATTACTACAATAGATTCAGTGTTTACTTAAAACATGCACCAGTAATTTCATTTCTTCTTGTTAACAGAAGCTTATCTGTCAATCTACATCACTGCCTATTTGTGTGAACAGCTAAAAATGCTAGCTGACACGGGGCCGTGTTCTAGCAGCATTTTCTCCTGACGTTTTGCCAGCTGACATCTTCAGAAGACACAATTTGACAGAGTTTTGAATTTAGAATGCCAGATTTCTATATAACCATTATAATGGGGGGGGGGGGGGGGGGGGGGGGTTTGCTTCTCAATTTTTCAGAAATGTGAATAATTTCTGATGTAAGTTAATATCTGTTAATGCAAATAAGCAACTCATGTACTGTAACATGAAATAAGCTTGCAAATAAAAGCCTAATTGGCAACTTCAATTACAAGAAAACGTTGAGAAGGAAATTCCTGCTCAAGGAAACCGCTTCTCCCATCACTTTCACATTTTAGTGTTTATTTATTTACTCTATTTATACCCCATCTTTCTCAACTCCATAGGGAGACACTCAAGGTAGCTTACATATATAGCCAACAATTAATGCCAAAAATACACATAATAAAAACATAAGCATTAAAACACAATAAAACCTTTAAAACCAATGATTTAAAATCACGCAATTTCAGTATTCATAACATACAAAATGCAGCACAGTATGCCTCAACTTGGTAACTATCTCTTGACTGCCACAGGATTACCATTGTAAGTGTAATGAGAAAACAGGATCAGGGAGAGTCAAAATAAAGAAGTATATAATTTTAATTGACCAGATGCCCATTATTCTTTAAGATTTTGATTGCTGCGGTTATTTCAAATGCTTTTATACTGTGGTTCTAGTGAGTTTTATCTTAATTTTATCTGGCGGACCATGCTTATGAATCACAAATTGGTTGACTCTTCAAATGAGATTCACATTTACTTCAGAAGGTAAAACAAATGTAATTCCTATTCTCAGCTAGAAGATATACATCATGCTCACATTATTTTGTCTGGTTCAGGGCAGGTTCAGCATCTCCCAGTGGTGCAAACCATGAGGCAGCCAGGTACATTTCTCTATGGCAGTTTAAACCAAGATATCATTATTTATCCCTATAACCCTGAACAAGGACAAAATGCCTATTACTGGCTTCCCAACATTTCCCTAGAGATCCCAGGTGTAACACAATGCTGCATATCTTTCCTTTCATCTGAGGCAAAATAGAAGATAGTGGTGGTGAATCAATAAAATGCAGTTTCCGTTGCTGCTATTAAGGGTCTGCTTATGTCAGTAATCTAGGCTGAAATACTAATGGCTCAAAAACTGCACCAGGATTCTTCATGAGGTACTGAACACTTGGCTGGCTATAAGAGGAATATTTATAGAAAAGAGGAATCAATACTAGAAAATAGCGTGGGGTCAAGTGTATGCATTGCTCTTCAGGAAAGCCCCCAGAGAACAGACACCATTTGACATTTCTATGACAATGGAATAGCCTTTGCCCACCTAACAAAACGGATCATCAATACAGGGCTGAACCATCACTATGGAGTCTTGCAGGATCAATCATCTTGATGAAATCTCTGAATAGGCTGGGAAAGGGAACTAAAAGCCAACAAAAGGGGGTCACTTCGAATTCTATCTGAGAAAACTCATTGTAAGGATTGTTACAAAGAAGTCTTGGAAATACTTCATTGGAGTCTCTTAGCTGGCTGCTCCTTGCCTTCTGAGGCGAGATGGATAGTGACAAGAGAAACAGTGGAGACACCTCAGTAGTGGCTCCAGTCCCTGTATTATGCTCTGCTCAGGAATACAGAAGTGATGATCTATATCTTTGCAACTTTTAGACATGGAGTTAAAAGATTACCGTTCTCCCAAATTTTAAATCAGACCATTTTATATTTTGCTGTTCCATTCATATTTTACTAATGTTGCTTCTGTTATTTTAAATTATGCTCTTACTCTTCCTTTATTTTGTTTCTGTTGTCATTTTACTGCTATTATTCTGTTTTAAACATTTTTCTTCTGTTATTTTAACATTCTAAGGTGCAATATTATCTTTTAAAGCATCCTACATTGTCTATAGCTCTTACAATCCCCAGTGAAGAACATGGGCACAGGCTTTATATTCCAACATATCTGGAGGTTACACTAAATTTGCAAAAGTTACTAAGGAAAACCACATGCTAGAATAATCAAATAGCATCAACAGGCAGATGTGCTGCAGGAAGGGAAAGGCAATGTTACTCCGCTGGAGCTCTTCCTTTTCACACCTTGTTGTGTCAACCTAAAAACCTATTGATTTATTTATATTGGATCCATGAATGCTGTTTTCTGAAAATAAAGGCTGTCCTTCCCTTTTCAATTCTCAGTCTCTGACCTCACCTCACCTTTCACTTCAGCAACTTTCTTTAAAGTGTGGTTCATCTATTGCTTTCCCGAATATACAGAGTGAGACTGAAAAGTTTTCCAAAGGAAGTCAAGTTTTACATCTACTTGTAATTATCAACAAAGAGAAGTACACTGAAACTCTGTTGTCCAGAACTCTCACAAACCTGCCGTACTGCCTCAAGCCAGTGCATGCGACCTGTATGTTTTTCCATTAGCACCTACAACAGCCTGTCATTCCACTGTTTTGGACTACAACTTCTATCATATACAGCCAACATGGCCAAGGGATTGGAGTCCAACAAGGCTTTCTCTGTGGTGGCACACCAATAATGGAATACCATTGGCCTTGGACGCCCAAATAGCACCAACATCACTGTTATTTCGGCATCAAGCGAAAATGTAGTTGTTCACTAAAGTCTCTGCAGCCTAACTGACTTATTTTCTTTAACAAATCCCCACATGTATATGCTTATTAACAATAATAAACTTTATTTATACCCCGCCACCATCTCCCCAAAGGGGACTCGGGGCGGCTAACATGATACAATATACAAACAGCAAAATAAAATACAGAATGCAGGCAAAAAAATTACATCAGAATAAAATACATACAGTTGCAAAATAAAATAAATAAAGCAAATTAACACAATATAAAGTCGAACAGAATTGGCAGGCCAAATGGATGAGGTAGGAATAGAAAAATGTAATTGAGGGGAGCCCAAAAAGGATAAGCATGATTGGCGAACGGCTTTTATGTAATGTATCCTAAATGTATTAGTTAATTTACTGTCGATGTATAATGTTTTAGATGTTTAGTGTTAGCATTGAATCCTTGCTGTCAGCCGGTCTGAGTCCCTCTACGGAGGTAGAGAAGATCGGGATATAAAAGTTTTAAATAAATAAATAAGCAGTGGGGTAAGGCTTTCAGTGGGGTAAGGAAAGTGCATCATAGGGGCAACACTATAGATGGAACAAACAGAAATGGGATAAACAGTCACTCTCCAAAGGCATTTTAAACCATTAACCATTTTAAATTATTTGAATTTGAATTGGTTGTATTTTTTTCACTTGTTAAATTGTTTCATATGTTTTAACCTATTAAAATTGCTCTTATTGTTTTCACTGTTTTCAATTAATTGAGTTGGTTTTACTGTACACCATGGTGAAATCTTTAGTCAGAGAGCAGCATATAAATATTTTGATAAATTAAAATAAATACAGATGGGAAATTGAAAACTTTATTTCATTTATTGGAGAGGAATTCATGTGATGTCTCTGATGCTATGCTTGAAATGTGATAAAATGTTCAAGTGAGATCTGAATGACACTATGGGGCCAGAGTCTGAGCTAGAAGTATATGACTGCCAAAACTGACAGTGTTATTTGCATAAACCAAGGTTAATTTAGATCTTCCTGAGTTACTTCTGTGTGAGGAAAATTAAAGTGGGGGAGGATGACTCACTATTTAACATGAGTAATGCTGTTGTTGTTCATTTTAGCCACAAACCAGCCAGGATGTAGACAAAGACTTCTCACTTCCCTTTACTTCAAACCCTCCAGGGCAACCCATAATACTGCTATGAAAGCAGTCTGAAACAGAAGTGTTGGGCACCAATAATGCAGAGACACATGAATAAAACATGCACTCTGTGATGTAAAAGTAAGTTTTCAGTATCTCTTCCAACACATATCAGAACAGAAGTTATTGGATACCAAGATAAATGGATTACTATCATCCTATCAGAATAGGAAAACTCTACCTATTTTTTTATCCAAATAAAAACTGATGGATGCAAGAGATGAAAAACAATTTGGGCAGGGAAGGCAGAAAAGAGAACAAGAGATTCTTCCTCCTTCATTCTTACTAACACATTCCTTGGAAAAAGATATTTCTTTGGACTACGGTTTCTTGAATCTATCTAATGAAACCAATTGCCATATTGGTTTGGGGATTCTGAGAGCTATTATTTTAAAAAAGCTAATTTTTCCAGAGTTTTAGGAGGGGTGTGGAAAATATTTCTTAGGACTCTTAAGCAATGCCCTGCACACACTCTCCTCAAACCCCAAACATTTACTCATATAATAACAGTCAGCCATGAACCAGGGACTTTTTGCATCCCCAGCAGCTCCCACGGCAGACATTGTGGACTCAACTGTTGCTTCAGCAAAAGAAGTAAATAAAGAGAACAAAACACATTAACAGGTGACTGTGCTGCAAGTGAATACTCAGAAATTCCTTTCATATGCAGAAGCAACCTTTTAAAACCTTTAAAAAGCCATAGGATCTGTAAACAATCCCTCCTTATTAATCAGTTTGCATGCAGGGATGGTCTTTATAAAAAGTGAATGGCCAAGATCAGGTTTTACAGCCACTTCTTTGTCCATAAAGCTGGATGTTTCCTCATAAGCATCATCAGAGCCCGGGGGCTGGTGTGCAGCCTCCTTTGAAGGGAGCTCTTTGTTGGCCACAAACACTGTAACTCAGCCATTTCCAAGGCAGGCTCCTGCATAACCATAGACAGGGGAGGTTGGGGTTTACTGCATTTTCATGAAGCTACAGTCCAAGGCTGAGTGCCAAATGAAGTTATCCTTGGTATTATGTTGGCTGGCAAGGAGCTTTTCATGCTAAATGTGTGATACGTAACACACATGGGAAGAGATAGAAGAGAAGGAAAACACAATAAAGAGCAGGGTACCACAACTATTTCTAGACAAACTTGCGTGTGTACTACCTGTACAACCTCCATTAAAGCGGATAACTCCAGTGGCATTGAAGGCCAATTTTCTGCCCCTGTAACCCTCTATGAGTCACTCAGATACATGTATTACACTATAACAAAGATAGAGAGCATCCCCGAGTTTCTGTTTCCTGTATTGCTGCCTGAAGCAGACAATATATGCACACTGCTTAGGTATAATTTTTCAGGTAATTAGGATCACACAGGAGAGAATTGGCCTAGACCTGCTGGCTCCACCCACATGTTCTGCAATAGCTTCCTTCTCACTGAAGAGGTTTGTGCACTCCATGTGTACTCATGCTTCCTCATCCCTTCCTCTCTTCATTTCCTACCCTCCTTGGATAGGCAAGCCACAGCTTGATACTACATCCAATCAGAGAAACTATGGCCTTCCAAACCTCACTCTGAGATCATGAGTTGAACTATGCAAAAGGAAATGGAGAATGTTAACTGAAGGATCAGCCCTAGTTATGAAAACATCCGAATCTGGTGGACAACTTCTTTGAAGGTAAGCTACATACAGAGAGTGTTTCTTGGATATCTAACCTGTGTAATGAGACACTTAAGTTCAGTTCTCTCCATCTCCCAGGTAGCTTTGGCCTTGGCAAACTGCTGCTGTAACTCATTCATTCCTCTCCTTTCTTCCCGCAGCTCTGTGCACAGCTCCTTCAAGATCACCTTCATATCTGACAGAGTCTTAATATACTCATTGGGCTGTAAGAGACATAAAAGGGAAAAAATGTATGACAGCCATGCACCTATGCCTACAATATTTTGGACAACGTAGACAACTGTTATCACCTTTCATAAACTATATCAAATACAATTTTTTAAAGAACTGTGTACACTGAATTAACAACATTAAGAACCAATGTGTTAATCATTACTGTACCAAACTAAGTGTGGGGATACACAAGCTAAAATCCATTCAAGAATGGAACAAAGTAAAATAAAGTAAAAGTATAAAGAACAGCAAGTCATTTAAGCGTGAATTTAAAAAGTAGTCAAAACTGTCCCTCTGATCTCAAAATGTACTCTAATAAACAAGTCGGAGAGAAAAGAAATAGATACTCTTGCCCCTCTCCTCCCATCACAAGGTACCCCTCTCTTATTTGGTGGGTGCGGCCAGCATAAAGAAGCAACCCAGGTGAAAAGGCCCCATGTGACACAGAAAGGATGTTGAGTTAGCAGCACAAAAATGCAAGCGAAGCACTTCTTTCATGATTATTTAAGGCTTTGTGGCTGTGAAAAAATGAACCTCAACAATCCTGCTAAGTACAGAGCTCAGTTTCAGAAATCCAGGTGTAGCTATATTGGGTAACTCCCAAAAGAAGGTAAACTTACTCTGAGCTCAGAAAAATTATATCTTGGACTACAGTTCTCAGAACCATGTAGGCAACATGGCATCGTAAATTTTCCAAACTCAGCCTCCTTTTCTTACTGCTGTTCAGAAAATTAAAGCAGCTCAAATTCCAAACCAGCAGGATGAATTTCCTTTTGACTGATTTATTGGGCATTATTGATTGCTCATCCATTCTATCTTACCGTGTTCTGAGACCAGGTATCTCTTGAACATGTCTTGTTATCTGCTTGCTGTTGGGGGTTCAACTCCTCTTCTTCAATCAGCAGGTAGAGTTCTTTCATGCTATTCACCTGGAGGGAACAACAGACCAGTAGTAGTAAGGTGTCTGCAATCACATATTTTATGCATAAAAATAACTTAAGTGTACATGGACTACTACAGTGGTTTCTCAGTCACTGGCCCACTTGATTTTTGGACTTCAACTTCCAGAGTATCCAACAATTGGAGTTACAATAGTTCCTCCAATATATCTGGAAAAAGAGTGAGAACCACTGTTCTAGTACAGTGGTTCTCAACCTGTGGGTCCTCAGATATTTTGGCCTTCAACTCCCAGAAATCCTAACAGCTGGTAAACTGTCTGGGATTTTGGGGAGTTGTAGGCCAAAATACCTGGAGACCTACAGGTTGAGAACCACTGTTCTAGTAGAGTTGATAAAAAGATAAAATTGATAAAAAGAGAGAATTACAACACAAGATGAGCTTCTAAGACAAGTGTAGGAATTATGTGGCTCTCCAGACATTGCTAGCCTGCAGCTCCCAGAATTCCTCAGTATAAGCTATCCTATCAGGAACTCTGGAGAGATGCAGTCCAACAAACATAAGGAGGACCACATTATTCCAGCCCAATGCTAGAACATGAACCTTCATACAGATGCCTCAGTATCACATCATTACAGCTACTTTCATTGTCACCCTCTTCTTTGAATTTCTGTGCCTGGTACCTTTCTGTACTTTTGTGCCCAGACAGAAACATCATTTGGATTTCACATCAGGCTGTGAATTATAAAAGAGGCTGTTGTTCCCAGGTCTTCAACTGTAGTTCGTGCACTCTACTTTAAAGAGAAATGAATTCATTACCCTTGACAGTGGAAAGGGGTTCCACTGATTTATTCATCCATATGAATAAATCCCACTTCTCACTGCTGTCTTAATGGCAGTGAGATTAAAACAGATACATTCAAGAATGGGGCTCACCAGCTGAAAAAACAGGTAGAAGTGGCACTCCAGAAGACTTTCTTAAGCACCTTTCTCTACATTTATTATTTCAAACATTTGTACCCTGCCCTTCTCAACCCCCAAAGGGGGACTCAGGGCATCTACACAAAGAAATTTCACTACATATCTATTTTAAAACAGATTTGTCTGTAGCACTGAAAAGACTTTTCAAGCCTCTCTTGTGTTATGTGCATGCATGTGTGTGATTTGTGTGTGTGGTCACTGTAGTAAAAAAAATCATCATAGAAGAAACATAATGATTATTTCAGTCAATGCAGACTTCAGGTATATGTCAGGAATCAACATTTGCATTAGATAGTTAAAAGTAAGTTGACTTAAGCCTCAAATGAAGAATTGTGTGGGTGATCTTTAAGATGTACAAGACGTACTATAAGAAAAACATTTACATGTTGGAGTAGGCTAAACATTGCCTCTTGCCTCCAAACAGTGAAGGACACACAGAAGACAGGAGACAATCGCCAAATTTGAGTTGACAAGAGCTCCGTTCTTGGGAGACCATGAAGTTATAACATATCTTAACACAACCAAAGCTATTGACAAAAACAAAAATGCAGGCTCATGGTAAAGGCCTTTGTTGCCTGTTTTAGTATTCAGTAGGATATCTGAGTCCTTTGCAGGGAAGCTGAAACTCAACATTTGCCATACCTCCAAGAAGTCATTGCCTTCATTCTGTAGGATCTTCCCCTGCCTCCAATGCTTCAGGAACCATTTCAGTTTCATGAAAAGGAGCAAGAAATTCTGCTTAAATTGCTGGGATTCTTTTACCAGAAGATTTTTCTCCTGGCTCCAAAACTTTTGCTCCAGTCTCCTCTGAAGGTTTAGACTCTGCAGCTCAAATTCTCGCCTCAGGAGAGCTTTCTGGTGATCTTCCTTCAGCTGAAAAAAGCCCAGGACACATGTGGAATGATTGTTTTACGCACTGACGTAACAATAGAGCTATTAACCCATTATATGAATACAATCTCAAAATTGTGAGGGACCAAGGAAACCTTTGGGTATGCAAGGCATTCATATTTTCTTAAGTTTCCTGTGGCTAGTATTTATTTTAAAGGGATATACAGTTTGAAGAAAAAATTAACTACATTGATAAGGACCATGACAGAGAAGGCTGAAAGTATCATGAGTGTGTGAACACAGTACAGTAGGAGGAGTGTCAATTAAAAAACATAAAGAAGACTTCTTGCCTACAGTGCCATCATCATTATCCCCATACCCACACATGCCTGATTTATTAAATTTCTTTCCTTTGACACCATACATATTTTGCCATTTTTTCTGCTATCAGGGATTTCGGAATTTGATTCTTTATCTTTTTACAAATGTGACAGAAACTCTCAGGAGGTTGTATTTCATACCACACCTGATTGCTGAATGCTAGACAATGAGATGCTCAAAGACAAAAACATTCAGTGGTTTGATTAAAAGCTTCAAAGAACTGCCCTTAGTTATTGTATTCTGCCTACATGTATTGCCCTGGGATTTCATCAGACAGGCTAGGAAAGCCAAGTTATTCTTAATTGCTCCTACAATCATAGGTCCTTTCGGTTAAACCCTATTGTTGATACTATTTCTAAGCAAAAGGCAAATTGCAGCAAAATAAACTTTGAGGAAGGAAGAAATTACAGTCAGTCTCATACAGAAGTTTTCCAAAATGGCTATCTTTATTTGGAAAAAACTGCGTCCACAACTGATTCCATCAGTTCCGTTAGGCTATTATAAAACCACTAATTACCAACCAAGTATGTAATTTGGGCATGTTATTGCAGTATGCTTGTTGGAAATGGATAACGAGTAATGTGGTCCCAACACCAGAAGTACAGAGGTACCAGCTACGGCCAATACAAAAGAGAACCATCTAGAAACAATCTTCCTTAGCAACCAAAGAAGGCAGTATAGTGGGCTTTGTGTTTCTGTAAATTGCTGCAGTTGTGAATGCCTGAAGCAGTCGTAGGGACTAAGGCTTGTACTGAAGTCCACATATGCATTTCCTGCCTGTCTCTCACATAGCCTGGAGAGTTGCCTTAGGCAAATTTCACTGACCTGGCAAATTTTCTGGGTGAAGTTTTCTGCTTCCTCTTTCCTCAGTTGCCTCTCCTGGGAGAGCTGTTCCTGTTGCCCCCTCAAGCTCTCATTGGCCTCTGAAAGGACCAGTTGCAACTCCTTGATCTGCAAGGACAATTTAAAGTCAGCACCATCAAAGGGGGCATCCTCATATATATATTACTCTTTCCTTGCCTTTCTGGAGAAGACAAAGGCAGCAATCTTGCATACCTCATTGTAGCTAAGCTGAACCATGCACCAACACATTTAATTTACTGAACAGAACCTGAACCCCCTTTCACCCTGATCCACAAGGCCATTCCTTACTTCATCAGGAGTAAAAAGGATCGCAGAATCATCTGATTATGACCCTGTACTCAAACATGAAATGATGACATCAACACTAAGATCTACTGAGGTCAGAACTGATGTCATCATTTGTTGTAGTAGTAGTTGTTGTTGTTCAAGGAAACTCAAAGCCCTTTAAGACTTCATTTCATATCAAGCTTCAGGAAGATGATTCTGCGACCTTGCCTGTGCCCCAAAGTGTTAAATGTTCAGTAAATCAGGTGGGGATTTGGCACTGCAGAGGAAGAAAGGAAATACCAACTCCTACAAATCCCCCAAAGGACATTAACATCTGTATGGGAATCTTATACACATGCGGTTTAGGATTACAGCCAATATGTAAAGTACAGCCCATTGTACTCCAAAAGGACATTTCTGTTATGGTCCATTGTATTACGTTATAAAAATAAGTTGGTTGTACATATATCTGTTATCAACTGATCAGATCTGACACCTTGTGCGTATGTTTGATTGGTTGTTCCTCCCCACCTCTGGCTTTGTCCTGCTCAGTTTTTGCTTCTTTCTCCTGTCTTGAAAGGCTTTGGCCACTCATCTTGTATACCCACTCATCCCACTATTCTTTACTTCCCTTGTTAGTTCCTGATGTGAGCTGGATGTCTAGATAGATATATAGCCAAAGACAAAATCTGCAGAATCCCAGCACAGCCAATTTTAGGCTGAACATAACCTATGTTTTTAACACTTCTTTTCAGGTATCCTTCTGTATATGTCCAGCATACAGGAATTCAATTTGTTTGGTTGTGGGAGTTGCACAAATATGTGAAATGTTTTAACATATAAAGAAGAGCAAGGCATATAAAGGTATTCTAAAAACATTATAACAAGCTGTTGATTGTTGTTTTGACCTTATAGCCACTGAACATACGTAACCCAATAAACAAGCAATGTAATTTCATTTTGAGAAATATATTGTTAATACAACCTGGTGTTATTTTACTTTTGTTCATCAAAATTGTAAAACAAGAGTACATTGTTAAGTGTGATTTCAAAAAAAAATTATCAAGGTCTCCTGTAGCCATACAGCCATCTCATATAGAAACATGTAAACTAAATGAGTATTTGTACTTCATCTGGACATTTTTTATTTTAAAATAAGAGTACATTGTTAAGTGTGATTTCAAAACATTTTTTCAAGGTCTCCAGTAGCCATACAGACATCTCATATAGAAACATGTAAACTAAATGAGTATTTGTACTTCATCTGGACATGCACCAGCAGCAGCTGCAGTGAGACAAGTGGGCCAAAGGGAAATAGCAGTGATAATTCAACAGCAAATCAATGAGGTGGAAGGGAGGGGAATAGTCGGTGGCACTCAGGGACCCTGACTTCAAATTATATTCATACCTACCAACTTACAAGATGCAGTTTTCCTAAGGTTCATATAAGTATCCCTTCAAATCCAACACCTTGTAACCATCTGCTTGAATATGACAGAAGGTATCAAGGTGGATGCAGGGTCCAGACAAAGGCTGTCTTTTTTTGTGTCTCATGGGGATTTCCTGACTTTCTCGCTTTGGGATGATGATGAGAACATACCTCAGACACATAAGAGTCCTTCTCATCTGGCTGATACGACTTGTAGCTCCGGCCAAGTTCCACGTTGGGATCTACATCAATGACGGTGGTGTTGCTGCTGTTGCTACTGTGGTACAGATCGGAGGGCCTGCTCTCCCCAACATCCCAATCCGGGGCCTCCCTAAAGTCAGACTGCTGCATGCATGGGCAAGTTAATGAGAACAAACCAAAAGAGCAGAAAAGAAAAGAAAAAACAAACAAAACTATGGGTCTCAGGAACAATAAAGAGAGCTACAAGACAACAAAAAGGATGAAGAGGAAGAGGAGCTTCACTACCGTGGCAGAAGACAACGTGGAAAACAAAAGGAGACACAAAATGAGCAGACACGTGGGCTGGATTGTTTAGGGAGGGGAGAAAGAGAAAGAGGGAAAAAATGTGCAAACACCAGTTATGGTGCCATGCAGTGCCAGGGGTGGGACTGGGACTAGTTGGGTTTGAGGACGGGGCCAGGGCATGCATAAAAATAGAACTCTGAAAAATCGGAGTGTGCTTCAGGAGGTTGCAACCCAATCAGAATCCCTTTCCTTCAAAGATGAAGCCTCTGCTAGATCTCAAATCATGTAGGATGCTGGTTTCACCCACATTCTGAGTTAGATTTTCCCTCCCTGCACAACAGTCATGTTAGCCATCCGGGCATCCCCTGGGCAACGTCTCTGTAGACGGCCAATTCTTTCACACCAGATGCGATTTGCAGTATGTTCTCAAGTTGCTTCTAACACGATAAAAAAAGACATGTTGGAAAGTCTGGAAACTACTGGATGTGTAACCAGTTTGGGCAAGATACCAAACACACCAATTGTTTGTGGAGGCAATCTTCTAGCGCCTGCTCATGGGTACACTCTCTAAAGCAGTAAATCTCCAGGAAAGGTAACCGCTACCGCATGATGCTCCAAAGCAGCTGAACTAGGCAAACTAAGACAAAATTCAAAAGCCCTGCGCAAGTGCAGGGATTACCGTGTGCGAATTTACAGTTGACCAGAAGGGAGAAATAGCTAATCCTTCCACATATATCCTTTTAGCCATAAACATTTTTACTTTCTTGCAGACAAACTGCTTGTATGAATGTAAAGAAATAAATAATGCCTGCTTCCATATACTTTAGTCAATTTGGAAAATCTTCATTTGTGCTACATCCAGCATCTGCAGGAATAGTTGTAGCCTACCTAAAAAGTATTTCTCCCTATTCTTTTCAGTGGAACAGAGTTTACAGCTAAATTATACTACTGTTATAGAATCATAGAATCACAGAGTTGGAGGAGACCTCATGGGCCATCCAGTCCAAGCCCCTGCCAAGAAGCAGGAATATTGCATTCCAAGCACCCCTCAGTTATTAGCTATTAGTATTACTTGATCTGTTGCCTTGTGTAAATCAAAATATCATTTCCATGTTAGAAATAGCAGCCTTTGCAACCAATTCAAGTTCAAATTAATGAGACAAGAGATGGAAGAGTTTTGTTTTTTTTTTTAGACTATAACTCCTAGAATTCCCAAGTCAGCATGTCCACTGAGCGGATTCCAGGATTTTTCTAAGCTGTAGAAAAGATCCATGAAGAAAGCTCTATGAAAAGGTGTATAACACTTTCACCCATTTCCTTTCCATAATGCAAATCTACCACTCCAGATGTGGGGAACACCTAGGTCAAAATAAAATGCTTTTCTCTGACAACCTAAAAGAGTTAAAAAAAAAACCCCAACAAAACCCAGAAACAAAACAGCTGTGGATAGGATTGACACTGCGTATGAAAACAAATGGTTAAAATAATTCTTTTTCCAGAGTACCATTTCTCATCTACTTTGCAAAACCTTCAAGGATCCTAGCTACAGTTTTTACAATTCATAGGAAATCCTACATCTAATTCATTATCTAGTTTGTTGGTGGAAGCTCAACCATATGTATCTAGTTTGGACCTCATTTATATTTTCACATTAGGACTGAGACTTCACTGATACTTTTTTCAGAAGGGAAGTAAACCTGAATGAACCCCAAGTGAAACATTTCCAACATCATCCAACAAAAGAAGCATCTTCAGATCTATCATATTATCTCATCTAGTTCACCTAGAAAACTTTTGTGATGAGAAAAGGGAGCCTTTCGTGCCAATACTCTCCACCTATAAAAATGACTTGGAAACATCATTGTGAGTTGGCTTCCACAATAAACGTGTGAGCCCATGTATAAAAAGTAAGTTCCTGTGACATTCCAGTGTTCTATACTACACCTGCGATATATCACAGGTGTATATAAATTTTCCTCATTAGTTGAAATGTAGTATTATTTTCCAGGCAATTTCTCTCCTGACTCATGCACACTCCACTAAACCAGAGTCCTATCTTGTCTTTGGCCTCAATTCCATGCAGTGAGCCAGTTGTTAGTTTGTCATTTCACTCTAAAGAGGCAGAAGAGGGAAGTTACATCAACAGGGTCAGGTTCTAATCTGTTAAAGCAGGAGAAAACAGTATGGCAAATAAAGCAATAATAACTGGTAGAGAATCACTCTCAAGAGTGCAGGGAAACCTCACCTGGATTTCAGAGCCATGCCCTTTCCGTAGAGTTTCCTTTGTGGAATCCTGGGAACTGTGGCTTGGTTGAGATTCTTTCTGGTCCTTCATGCAATCTCCAATACAGTCCACCTTCCTCATAAAAGTATTTAGCTCCTGCTGAAGAACTCCAAGCCTCATCAAAATGGCACTGATTAACTTAGAATCAGTGGTGCTCTCATTATCCATGGCCTCGTTCAGCACTAGCTCTGCACAATCGTTGTCCATGCACAGTTTGAGGCTAGAGGTAAAGCCATTGGCATCTGATATCAGGACATCAATGGCTTTGCTGACAAGGGCAGCTTGGTCCCTGATGTCAAGGAGGGTCTCAAAGTCCTTAGACCTGTAAAACCGTATGGGGCTGCTTTCATGAGATTTGCTAAACCCATTGCCAGGCACTCTCTCCTTAGCATCATTCTCTCCTCCAATGGGCATCTCTCTCCAAAGTGAAGTTGGGATGCACTGGGCAGAATCACCTGCCTCGGCATCTGTCTCCAACATGGGCCGTGTGGTCTGGCAAGAGGCAAGGTCACAGCGCTGTAGGTTAGAGAGCAGGACACGGTTTTCATATTGCAACTTTTTCACCTTTCCACTTAGCTCATTGATTTGGACCTTGGCAGTGGCCAGTTCTTCCTGTGAGGTCTCACTTATCACTGAGCAGCTGTCCTCAGATAAAGTAATATCCAAGTCATGGTCTGACTTGTACTTATTGAGCTCGTTCATGAGGAGCTTGTTCTGGTCCTCTAACTCCATCAGTGAGCGCCTCAGCAGATCTGCCTCCTCCTCTACAAACTGCAAATGCCGCCTGAGTTCGCCCACACTGTCCCCAGATTCCCCACAATTTGTCATAGAAAAGGCAAACTGGACATCTTGGCCCAAAAGTTCTTTGTCTCCTTGCCCTTTCATGTCATCCATCTCTGCTCTTAGCCCTCGGTTTTCAACCTCAAGCTCCACTATCCTTCGACTCAAAATGTTGGCTTCTTCTTCTACAAGTTTTAGGTGAACTTTCAGCTCTGCTTCTCGGGAATGTGGGGAATCAGCCAATTCTTCTATGGAGAGAGAGCTTTCCAGGTCCCCATACAAAGAATGATATTTTGTCAGCTCTTCCTTCATACTGTCATTCTCTTTGGCTAACTTTGTCAGCTTCTTGCACATCAGAGCAGACTCTTCCTTTGCAAAATGCAATTGACACTTGAGATCTGCACTGTCCTCCTAGGATCAAGACCAGAAAAACAATACAAGCATTACAAAAATTGGACTTTTGAGAACCTACTCTTTGTTTTTAGAGAAAAGAAAAAAAATACTGTTAACATCTCGTAAAAGTTACAAAGGTTGAAACATGCTAACTATATACAGTGTATTGCACTGACATCCACATCACACAGAAAAAACAAGTACAGGAACCGGCTGCCCATTACTACTTCCAAGTATTCACTCCTTTATCTGACACAGAGCATTGTCATCCTGCCTCTTCATTTGAGCAGCTGAAATCTGATGGATAGATTTTACAGATCTAAACCAGGTTCAGTGTATATACCTGTGATATAACTCCCTAAGAACGTATCAGTAGAGTATTTAAGTCAGTGCTTAAGTTGAACTCACACATGAAAATAGTGAGCCTTCTTCCTGGCATGCTGGGGTTATACGATGTCTTTCACAGAGATAGAGGAAAAAAGACAGAAAGATAAAAATAAAAATGAGGGGCCTTCAAACAGTTTGTTCCATTTATTTCTTATGCACATTTTAATTTGTTCTGACATTATGTAGTTTGATCCAGGGCAGTGGGGGGCATACATGGAAACTGGAAGTAACATACTACTTTGAGGGTGCATAACTGACCTGTTCAGAGGGGTCTTTTTGTTTGTAACATTTGCTCCTCAATAAACCCTGAAGAAACCGTGGCTAATTCCAATGTTTTGGAATACAGCCATTAAAATCCACTGGTTAGCATGGAAGTAGTCACGATACAGACCAACAAAGTCACCTTTCTAAGCCACAAGAATCAAGACATGAAGAAGAAAGGGAAATGGTTGCTTATAAAAAAAAAAACCTCCTGAGCATGATGGAAAAGCAATAAGTCTGCTTTTACAGTTGCAAGTACTTTCCCGCTCATTCCAAAAGAGCTAGGGGACTGTGATTAAAACACAATGCTAACTGTTAGATCTGTTCACTTTCTGGCAAAAAAATGAGAGCAGAGAGGAAAGTCTGCTCTTTCTAACTCCTCCCCAACACCAGCCGCTCCAAACTGTAGAGAGACCGTTAGGAAATACGATACATTTTGGAAATATCTTTGCTTAAATTCTCAATGGCACTATGGGGATTTGAATTTTTCCCCTCAAGGAATATTACCTCATAAAAAGTGACCGTTGCTCATAAAATTAGTTCATTTCCTGTTTTCATAGTTCAGCGAGGGACAGAAAACTCTGACAATTCCCATCCCGAGAGGAGAGAAAGCAAACGTTCTCCACCAGGCACTCAGGACCTCCTTTCCAGATGGCCAATACAAGTGAGAGCATTCAGTTGCAACGGCCCTGCCTGATATTGCATCAGCCACAGTTGAAAAAGGCAGCTATTATTAACTCTCCAAAATGCCCTACATTGTTGTATTATGCTTTCAAAAATCCACTGCACAGATTCAGGCACAGCATAAAGGGAGAATCAGAAACTCACAATCCTTTCAAAGGGAAGAAGACAGGGACTGTTACCCTTCAATGCAAGCAAATGGAAAATTCATACCGTCTTAGAATTTTAAGCACAGCCTTGACACTAGGGTTCAATGGAAGCCTCCATAGCAAAGTAGCTTAGAGCCCATGATGCTCATGGGGACTGATTTTCAAATTTTCTGCATCTTTCAAACAGTTATAATTTTAGGAAAACTTCAGACTGAGAATGGGAAAGAGATAAAAATTAATGAGTGCTCTTCAAGGAAAACTTCATACTGAGAACATAAGGATGAACATGGGTAGTTCTTATGGTCCTCAGCTTGATGCTTTAATTCTAACTGGGGCATGTGGAAGAGAAGGTAGTATAATACAATAGTGAAGAATCCTTTCCAAAATATATACTGGGAATCATGTATATGGTCAATATTGGCCTAGCTAACATTTTCTACAGACTCCTACCACCATACAGACAGTATGTATATACTATACGTATGTTAATGAGCAAACACTCAACTCAAGGGATTTGTTACTAATAGGCACTGGACAAGCTCTGTAAGTAATTGTAAACATTCCTCCAACATTCCTCATGTTGATGAACCCTGGAAAAATAAGGAAGTGTCTTATGACTGTGGAATCTATCATATAAACTGAAACTACAACCATATTATCCATGGACCAAGATAGTTGGGAAGGGTAGTGGAAGCCTTAGCTTTTGCCTATATGATTACATGCAAGAAATGTAGAAATTGATATAGCGTGATCACAATACTAAGGAAGAAATATGGCCTCTTTGTCTGGAGCCATAGGGAGTAAATATTCCACAAAAGTATATTACCTGCATCTTATCTCAATCTTGTATTTGCTTGAGGAAATTTTAGATTGCCCTGTGTGTGTGTGTGTGTGTGTGTGTGTGCACGCCTCCCAGTCACATGTCAATTTATGGCAGTCTGTCTATTTATTTATTTATTTATTTATTTATTTATTTCGGTTGCTTCTGCCCCGCCCTTCTCACCCCGGAGGGGACTCAGGGCGGCTTACAAAAGCAAGGCACAATTCGATGGCATAACAACAAAGACAATAACATCAGTTAACAAAACAGCAATTCTGGCAATAACACAATTAACAGAAACAGTAATTATCTATTAATTTGAATGCTGCCCAAATTTGTAATATTTGTTTAAAAAATGAACAAAATTCCAAATCTTTCAAAATGAAAAGTAGAATTACAGAGAGAGTTTAAATATAAAGGTAAAGTTTCCCCTTGACATTAAGTCTAGTTGTGTCACTCGGGGGGGGGGGGGGGTAGTGCTCATCTCCATTTCTAAGCCAAAGAGCCAGCATTGTCCATAGACACCTCCTAGGTCATGTGGCCATCATGACTGCATGGAGCATTGTTACCTTCCCGCAGAAGTGGTACCTACTGATCTACTCACATTTGCATGTTTTCAAACTACTAGGTTGGCAGGAACTGGGCTAACAGCTGGAGCTCAACCTACTCCTCGGATTCAAACCACTGACCTTTCAGTTAGCAAGTTCAGCAGCTCAGCGGTTTAACCCACTGCGCCACCATAAATATAGTATTATGGCCTAAATATAGTATTATGGAAATCATAATACTATATTTAGGCCAGAGCTAACCATCATGGTTAGCCCAGAGCTAACCATCATGGAGATAGCATCTAGTTTCACACAGAAAATAAGAGATCTTGTAATTTCATGCTAAGATTCCTTTCATTAATGAAGTACAGCTGACAAATATAGATAAACAGGAAGTCTAAGAAATTTTAGGAGGAGTTGTGGGAATTGGGAGGTCAAAATAAACTGATGCAGATCACACTATTCTCCTGGTACCTCTTATCCTTTTGTCATAACAGTGGGGAATAAACTAATTCAACTCTAACAAGGTAAGCAGACAGTATCTTCTCAAAATGAATGGATGATTTAGAAAGACTGCTTCAAACACAGCAAAATTCCTTATGTGGACGTGTTTTATATTCCCAACTAGAATACACTCATGGAATTAAGTGTAGTTGGGACTAGCAATGGCATTGAGGAGTAAATATTAAAGATTTATACATAGAGAGAGAGAAAATGAAGAGTTAGAAATTTAACAACCCTTCCTAGGATTTGGAGTCAAAAGGGTGCAGACTTGTGGTCATTATCTTTTAGCAACATCTAACATTGCATAAAATTGGAGAAATAAAAAAGGATATGACAAATCCATATATAAAATATTGAACTACAACACAAAGGATTCCCAGACAGGACTCCATCTCCCAAGAGAACTCTGGGAGATGGAGTCCAAATAATAGCTTTCCAAACTTCTACACAAAAGTCTGAAAAAAACTTTTTTTTCAAGAGTCGCATCTCTCTATTATGTATGCTACAAAAATAAAGCTTTTGATGCTTCAATCCATTCTGTGAATATATTCTGTGCTACAAAGATGCAGATCAGGCATGTAGCCGGGGGGGGGGGGGCTTTGGGGGCTTCAGCCCCCCCCCCCACCCGAAATTCTCATGGTGGTCTGCGAAAAGGCCTTACTGGTACATTATTTAAACTGTTATGTTTATTCATATCATGATCTGATCACCATGCTCAATATATCTCATATGCATGGGGGTATTGGGGTAACGATACAAAAGGTTTGCTAGGGTAGACCCTCTTTCACTCAGACTCAGCCCCCCCCCCCAATCAAAATCCTGGCTACGGGCCTGATGCAGATGTAATTATCTATTCTGAAAGTTTCTGAACAAATTATGAACGATATTAGCAAAGCTACAGTCAAGCCAAAATCAGGAAGGTGTCATCAATTTCACAGAATTATATAATTTCAATTAACTATTGATCAAACGAATGGCTATGTACAACATATAAGATCACTTTTGGTCTCAACACTGACATGAAAGGGAACATACACTCAATTAAAAATTGATAATACAGTGCAATGGATTGGAATTTTTTCCAGTCCTCATTTTGCCTGCCACCAACCTATTTCCTTTGCACCATTGCTTCTTTCTAATCATACTCTTTGGCATTGTTGTGGAGAAATCTGGTTAATGTATTTCAGATATTCCAGTGCTATTCAGGGTCAGTCATTGTGCTGCAGAAAATTTATCCAGTAAAATTCAAATGTCAAACCACATAACATTAAAAGACTTTGCCAGCCTGTTTTTCTATTAATTCAGGCAGCAGCTTTCATTTTTTTAAAGAAAAGAAATGCACAAAGAACAAACAAAAAAGTTCACTGCTGTATGGTTCAACATTTAGCTTCAGTCATTTGCATCACTGATCCAAATGGTTCCTCTTTAATTCTTTTAAACAATAAAAGTATGTTGATTCATTGGCAAAAGTTGCAATTGGCCAATGTGATTACATGCTGGAATATTTCAAATTGTACAGGCCAGCTGGTTATTGTTAACCCAGGGCGTAAGGTATTATAGTAAACCATCCTGCCCGAATATGAATAACTAAAGTAGCATGAAGAGCTAGGGAAAAGTCAATTTTTTTGGACTACAATTCCTGCAATTGCTTAACCAGCATACCCATGG